GTGCCCGGCTCTATACACCCTTCTCCATCTCTGTGCGTCTGGTCCTCCTGCCCGACTCAGTCTATTGCATGATGTTTCTGTTTCATTTCATTTTTAATGTCTGGTTGGACATGCACATATGGTCATACATACAACACACATGAATCAGATACATAGTGTTCCAAATTTGATCATCACCCTTATCCACACCATGATGCCATTTATTTTTTTCTAGTTGACTGTGACATCCAGCTATGTGGCACATGGGCTGTAGGGTTGCTGTAATGCCCACCTCTCCGATGGTGGCTACTATCTCAATTTAAGAGTGAGTCAGGGTGAGTGTGTTTGGTTCTCTGATCTAAGTTTGTTATCTTATGATCAAGAACCCACTCTTAAAATACTGTTTTACATGTTGCATGTAGCTACACTGCTATTACCTAAAATAATTGTTTTTCACGTTATCCTGTAATATTTTTCCTCGGTTTAATGGTGATACATTAACCACAATAATGCTGCGTATACGGTATTGTACAGGGTTCGAGATAAATACCACAGTGCTCCCTGAATTTAACGGGGATTGTAGCATATACATAAGAGGAATGCCTGGTTCTGGTTTGTTGCACTGAAGGCAGAGGCGCCCTCTAGTGGACACTGCTGATGAATGTACAAAAGTGGCGTTGCATGTCTATGCATGAAGGTATCTATGCAAGCGACTGCTGGTGATGCTGGCTGCCTGGTGTTGTTTTCCACGTTCTGAGTGACGGAATGCATGGATAGTCCTCTACCTGCCTCTGCCTTTGCCTTGATGATCTCATTGCTCTTTACACAATGAAAATGGCATCTCTGTTTTCCCTTGAATAACACTTGCTATAAACATCCGCTGTTTGATTTTGACATTTTTGTCCTTAATGAGTTTGTAAAAAAGCTGGATTCATGCTTTTTTGGTTTCAGACATCTCTGTATATCAGGCTTCCATAAAATATCACTTTTCCCGTGTGTTGAAGCACCAACACATCGATTTCATTGAGGGAAAAAGCCACCATGAAATGTTGAATTGATCCCCTTTCGTCATGTATGTTGTTTTACCACAATCATTAACAGTTTGTATGCTGCGTTGACAAGCTTCCAAATCTTTCTGGGTGATAAGTAACTTAAAACATTTTGCCCCTCATTACATGGTTACTAATTAAGATAAGAATGATAATTGTGATGATAAAATCTATTCCATAATTGTTTTTTTTTATGGTGGGGGATGTTACTGAAATGGCAATAGCACATTGGTTCAATATGAAATGAGATTCCTTTGCTGTAAGTCAGTACACTGGAATCAGTGGCTTGTTAGGCATGTTGCTGTGTGTTTGCTTTTTTGACAGTAGAATTTTAGGTTTTGCTCTACACTGAAAATGTTCTCTAGTGCAAGTATGTGGAAGGTTGTGCAATATGGAAATGGAATATATTTAATAATGACAACTTAAATGTGACTCATGGGCAAGTGCATGAGACTCAAAGCTTTGTTAATTTATTTGTATAGGTCACGATTTGAAGAGAATGCACTTTTAATATGCACATTTCTATCATTTTTATGTTTCAGAATATATGTTTTTCCTTTGAAAGAACAAGAATTTGTATGAAGGATCTACATATGCAAGAAAAGAAACTGAAATGTAATAAACAACAGGAAACACAGTGTTGTGTGTAAAATTTGTTTTCCTGCAAGTTAATTTGCAATCTGAAGTAACTGTTATGGGCTCAGTGTTTCCTCAGTGTATCCAGCAGTCAGTGAATGTGCTGATGTGTTAGACAACGGCAGCCAGCCAGCATCATGTGTTGTGGTTAGACTGAAACTGGGATTTTTGTCCATACGCACCATCGGCATCCTAGGTCTCAAAATATCACTGCATAGCAGGGAAATCTGCCCTTTTCACTGTGCACACAGCAAGATACGCTGATGCTTCTGTGGGCTCCTGATGAGCTCCGATCACTGGCAAAATAAATTCCAATAAAAGCCAGAATATTTTGGCCAGAAACTCAGCTACCTTTTCCCAGAGGTGGAGGCTGGACTTTAAAATGACCTTTCAGTAACATAATGACCTAAAGCATACATCAAAATCATACACCATACATCAAAATCATACAGCATACCTCAAAATCATACACCATACATCAAAACCATACACCATACCTCAAAGCATACCTCAAAATCATGCACCATACATCAAAATCATACACTATATATCAAAGCATACATCAAAATCATACACCATACATCAAAATCATACACCATACCTCAAAATCATACACCATACATCAAAGCATACATCAAAATCATACACCATACCTCAAAATCATTCACTGTAGATAAAAGCATACACCATACATCAAAATCATACACCGTACATCAAAGCATACATCAAAATCATACACCATACCTCAAAATCATACACCAAAAGCATACACTATACCTCAAAATCATACACCATACCTTAAAATCATATACCATACATCAAAATCATGCACCATACATCAAAGCATACATCAAAATCATACACCATACTTCAAAATCGTACACCATACATCAAAGCAACATCATACATCAAAATACTATATACCATACATCAAAATCAAATCAAAATTGGTACAATTACAGCCACGTTTTCACAGCCAGGTTTTTTCATACTGACATCATTCCATCTAGATAAATAAAATGTGTCATCTGGATCCTTCACAGCAGTCGGGCTCTCCAATGCTCCCCAATGCTCCCCAATGCTCCCCGATGCTCTCCAATGCTCCCCAATGCTGCCTAATGCTCCCCAATGCTCCCCAATGCTCTCCTTGGAATAATGATCAAAACTGCCGACTTTTTTTCACACTATTTTGATCCTCTAAAAAGACATTAAGCGAAGACCTTGACTTAAACTGTGGCCTAAATGTTTTTACACCAGTGTTATTTCCCAGATATTAATATATACAGTGGTACCTCAGAACTCCGGATTGAATCCTAAAAAGTTTGAGTTGTGATCGAATTTTCCCCATAAGAAATAATGGAAAACCAATTAATTGGTTCCCGGCCCCAAAAAATTACACATAAATATGTTTTTTTTTTAGCATTTGAACACAAAATGAACCCGATAAAACAAGAAGAGCATATACTGTACTAAACACATCTAAGCACATTTATCAAAACAGTCATTTGTAAAGTAAGAAAATAAATGTATCCAAACAATGTGTCCAGCCCCGATGGTCCGCTCCTTCCGTGTGCCACGCCCCCTCGTTAACCCCGTGTGGAATCCCCATGTGATCAGCTGTTTCTGGTTGTTGTCATTAGCCCTCTGTATTTTGTCCGCGTTTCAGTTTGTTTCCCCAGTCCGATTATTGTATTGTTCGTCTGCGTTTTGCCTGCCTTACCTGTAATTAAACCCCATATTCCCCGATACCCTGATATCTGCGCCTTTGTCTCTGTTCCGTCCCCGCTCAGCACAACAATATTATTATAATTAAACATATTAATGGTTTATTATTAATATTAATATATCTATTCAGCTAGCATAAACATGCACGATATGCTATCATAGCTAATGCGAGGCTGAGACTGAAGCGTTACCCTTTGTTTCCGCTGAGAGACGTGCCGCGTGACTCATTTCCCCGCGCGTACAAATTATCTTAGGTTGGCGTTCACGGTTTGGCTTCTGACATTCAGATCGAGCTCTAGGTAATTTTTTTTCAAACTGGTTGGTTCGACTTTTAAGAAATTCGAGTTCTAATGAGTTCGAGAACTGAGGTGCCACTGTAATTTATTGTTTTTTATGTGAATTCAAGATTTCAAAGCATACAGTAAATAAAGCCACATAAAACAGTTGTTTAATAATTCAACAGTTGTGTGCAAATGAAACATTTCAGCCTGGCAAAATAGTGGCCCAGTTCAGCCAGTGAGGATGAAATGAATTTTGGGCGATTACTGTAAACCTTCGATCCATGCTATATTGAATTTTAATGCACAGTACTATATTTTATAGGTTTTTAAAATATATCCTGATCTGCTGTTGGGCACACCGCCAAATGCTTCCTCTCCAGTAAGGTCTGACGTGCAGAGTGCACTTTCACTGCCCAAACACCTTTTCCTCTTTCTTCAAATCCATGTGTGTATTTCACTGCTGTTCTCTCAGCAGCTGTATCTGCTGCAGAAACATGGGGAGATTCATCTTGGAAGCAGGGTGTCCCGCCTGTTAGAGATTTATAAGGATGTGATAAATAAAATGTGTGTAGTTTTCAATTAAGCATTTATGGTCCTGCATCATAGATCAATGTCTGTGCTGCTCTCATAGATTTAAGGCAAGTGTCCCGGGATGTGGAGTGATAAGCTGATCCTGGGCTCATGAACACACCCTGAAGTTCTTTGCTTTCAGTTTCTTCCTGTATTTATCTTTCCTGTTTGGTGAAGATGGGCCACTGAAATCCTTCAGTAATAAAGCAGGTTGCCTTACCACAGGACATCCAACACCCCATCTACACTACATGGCCAAAAGTGAACAGCATTTTGTCCATCTAAAGGTATTAAGATGAAGTCGACTAACTCTTATCTGCAATAACAGCCTGTGTTCTTCTGGTAAGGCTTTCCAATTGATGGAAACATTGCTGGTGGGATTTGCTGGCATTCAGGTTGGGTACTGATGCTG